GGTATCTGATATCAGCCCCCATAAAATACTTTCTGATAAGAAATCTGAGCAGTGGAACGCGTTTATCGACCACTGTGCACTGGATGCTGTTGTTGCCGGCGCTTGATAAACGTAAACAAGCTCGTTAGGCGGTGTTTGTGCACTTTTTCCCCTGCTCTCTTGCACTCAGTCAAGGTTGAGGTTTACTACGGATCCAGTTTATCCAGCTAGCGTTTTCCATTTCGGTTCTAGCATTGAAAATGGTTTGCTATAAATAGCTTGGTGGCGATTGAGGGGGGCGGGGGAGATAGTAAGGCAGCTACAACATCATTCCAACTGGACTTTGTACCCCTTGAAAAACAACTGGGCGAATGGAAATTTATGCAAATAACTCAGAAATTACACTTGCACATATGTTATTTCCTGGCAAATTTAATTTGAAAACAATTCGATTCGCAATGCTTTTTTAGTTTGTTGTTTACAAAGTGAGTTGGAAGTCGTATAAGAATCCTACGTGACTTAATTCTGATTGGAATTCCGAAGGGGGTGGGGAAGGGAGAAAACAGCTGTTGCCTGTCTTAATTCTCTTGATTTTGAATCTTTTGGATAAAGAGGTGCGGGGGTGGGGTTATGTGCACCCCTTCTCTTTGATTTTCATTAATTAGCTCTCTTGTTTACACCGATTAAACACTTGCAACATCCAAAACACACTCACACACGGACACCTTATATAATTGGGCAAAACGAGAACAACAAATTATTTACTTATATGTATATGTGTACTACACGCACCTTTGTTTTTGTTAGCACAGATTCTTTTTCTTTCGGCCTCTCTTTTCGCTCCTTCGGCCTTGGCAACAATAACAACAACAAAGAACACTATTGCTGGCGTTCCGCACTTATATACACTTCTAAAAACACAGGTGCTGGTTTCACTGTACCGCGAGTAGGCTTTTTTCACAATTTCGGTAGTTTGCTATTTGTTAATAAACATTTTCCGCGCGATTCTCGACTCCGCCTGGGAAGCTCCAAAGAGCAATTGACAAAAACATCGAGAACTAAGGAACGGCCTTGCCAGACCCATGGCGTTGCCAGAGCTGGCGAGCATTTTAACGGTCGCACAGTGGTCAAAAATACTTTCCTGTGAAATTTAATTTTTTTAATGAATTTAATTGCTAAAAAAATGTAATGTATTTTTAAAAATATGTTAAATTGATTTCGAGTTTTTCTTTTGTTGTGTTAGTTATGTGATTTGGTACATACCACCGCCGAGCAAAAATCCATTGATAATTTTTATTATATGTTATAATTACTTGACATATATTAAATAATAAATAAACAACAGGTTTTTTATATTCTAATTATAAACATTTAAATCCCTAGACAAACCTATCGCCTCCGCGATAGTTGGCGGTCTGGCAACACCACGCCTAGCTGGCGCAGCCAACTTCACGCCAGACGCACCGAAAACAAAAAAACTGAAAATAATTGAGGGAAACCAAATAAAACGCCAGCGAAAAGGACCATGAACGTAGACCTGCGATCGTACTCGCGCCACTGGCTCACGGAGTTCATCGAGCAGTACCAGGAGGAGGAGTGCCTGTGGCAGCCGAAGCACAACGACTACAGTAATCACGCAGCCCGGAACAAATCCTACGACCGCCTGGTGGAGAAGCTGAAGGAGGTGGAGCCCAATCCGGACAGGGCGATGGTGGTCAGGTGAGGCTACCTCTACCATAACATTTACTGTTTCCTAATACTATAATCTAAACCCCACAGGAAAATCAACTCGCTACGCTCTGCATTTCGGCGGGAATTCCGCAAAACGACCAGCAAAAACGACTACGAAACGCGCCTGTGGTACTACGACAAGCTGCTCTTCATCGCCGACCACAAGCCCAAGCGCCACGAGCTGGGCAGCAAGCCCAAGCGGGAGCTGCAGATCAGCTTCGACGACGAGGAGTCCATGGAGTTCGAGGACGACTCAACACATCACACGGGCACCCAGTCGCAGTCGCACATGGACTCGATAATACCCACATCCTCCGACGAAGTGGAGGAGGTGACGGCCACGGCCAGCAATGTGGTGGTCAGCAGCCAGGGCGCCACCCTGAGCACCATTTCGGTGACGCCCGCGGAATGTGTGACCCTGGTGAAGAGCGAGGAGCAGCAGGCGGCCGAGGCGGCGGCAGCAGCGGCCCAGGCGCACCAGCAACTGGTGGCCCATGCGGCGGCCCAGACTTCCATAGCGGCGGCGGCGGCACAAGGACATGCCGTGAAGGTCCTCGAGATCACCTCCCTGGACTCCAATTCCCAGCGAGAGATACAACAGGTGGGTAGAGGCAGGGAGATCAGGAGTTCCTTAGTAGAGCTGCAAAAACATCGATGGTAGACCCAATCGATAGTTTCGATACTATCGCGATAGTATCGCTTATACATAAACTTTGGGAAATTCCCCATTTTATTGGTTGAAAATTCAAAACGCAATTAGATTAAATTAAAGTGAGATCTTTTTAATACGTATCCATTACCAGGGACCGAAAATAATCATTATTTGAGATTTTTAATTTAAAAAGGCTACTGTGATTTTTTGTTTTAAACGTAAAAAATTACGTTCTTTTTACTCTTGTCCACAAAGTATATGCAATTCAACAAATCTGGAAAGCAAATTAACTGTTATTTGTTCATGTCTATAAAGTGCATAAAAACCAGTTAAATTGTTGATTAAAACTTGTGAAAACTTCAGTAGGCCTTTTAAAATAAAAATCTAATTATCTAATCTAATTATTTACGGTTCCTGATCCATACACAGGATCTGTAATCAGTGATAAATTTTGTCTGCTGAACGCTTGTGATAAATTTCAACGACGTAAAAGTAATCAATCTAAAAAAATTGTTTTTCATAATAATTAAAAATGGCTGAACAATTATAAAGAATTCCACCGAATTGATGGTTTTTTTTTAAACTATCGATACTATCGATGGTTCCATCGATTTTTTTGCAGCTCTATTCCTTAGTGTCTTTATAAAACTTTTTCCCCCGCAGGCTGTTAACCACTTGGAGCACCACCAGCAGCAGCTGCACCTCCAGCAGGCCAACGGTCAGCACCAGGGAGTGCCCACCATCCAAATAGGACGCGATCACTACCAGCCCTTGTTTGGCAGCGCCGGCACCACTGCCTACACCACCACAGCAGCTCCGACCTCGTCGCATCGGCACGACGACGAGTACGATGCTATTGGCGTGAATGTGGCCAGCAAGCTGCGCTCCATCAATCCCACACAGCGGATCGTGGCCGAGAAGCTGATCAGCGATGTCTTGTTCAATGCCCAGCTGGACAACCTCACCGTCAACTCGGCCCTCACGCAGTAATCTCGCTCGTCTTTAGGTTTAGTTTATGTAGTCTCTGGCTTTATCACTCCATTCTGTGTCTCTGTGTCCCAAGCTTCGGCCAGAAACTGATTGTACCATACCGTTTGTATGTAGATTTAATTACTCTATACAATAAATAGATTGTATGTCTTAAGCTCATCACATGGAAGGTTGTCACTCTGCTGGGTTTCCTCCGCCCGTCAGCTTGTTCCACACGAACCTGGCAAACTGGAGGAGGAGAGAAGGAGCTGCTGTCTTGAGAGAATCACTTGAGGGATTATTACAAACGTACCGTAACCGGCGGCATGTCGATCTGTTCCGCCTCCGTGACCAGTTTCCGGTTGCTCTGCATGTAGCTCCAGCCCAAATGGATCCCCACCAGACTGGGAATCATCACGATGGCGACCAGGTTGCGCGACACGAACGAGGGTTGCTTGGTCATCTCGGTAAAGTGCGTAAAACGAAATTATTATTATTTAACATCTATCAAAAACAACATGGGTAATGTGACCGCATTGGGGCAAGTAAATAATCTTATCTGGGGAAAATACTAAATGGGGGGCCCAGGCCCCAAAAACTGCCGCTTTATTTGAATCGAGTTTTTATCTCTCCCAGTCTCTCGGTTCAAAGTCCAAAGTTTTGGGTATAATAATGGGAAACTGAAAGACTTTTGATTCTTTGTCTGGGACTCGGCTTGTTTTAGCAGATAAGCATCTGTCATTAGCTCGTTGCGGTTGTTGGCTTTGATAACAAATGTGGGGGATGTGGTTAGAATAGATCAATGACATTACACTGTCATTTTGAGGAGTATATTAGCTAGGGTGTAATAATATTGCACATTTTCTTTATATTAAAGAATAAGTACGGGTATAACTAATTCTATTTAATTCAAAGGATAATTTAAAACAGAAAAATAATAGTTGTAATATTAACTATAAATGGTTTTCAAGAAAGCTAAATAGAATAGATTAATGACATTACACTGTCATATTGTGGGGTATATTAGTTAGGGTGTCATAATATTCAACATTTTCTTTATATTAAAGAAGGCAGTCTAAAGTATGGTTTTAAATAATTATATTTAATTCACACAATAATTTAAAACATAGTTAAGTTAAACATTAATAAATAAAATATATTAACTATAAATGGTTTTAAAAATTTAAAAATATCAATTTTTCGGTGTAGCTTTACTACTTTGAATAAATCATGAATAAAATATTTGATTTTATTTTTTTAACGAAATAAAACAATTAATTAGGGACTATAAAATTAAGCTTAAATAATCTTTTTTACTTATTTAAATTCCTATAACCACTAGATTTATTAAATTGTTCAAAATTTAAATTATATAAAAGTATGACCTACACTTAACTCCAGTTTCACGCTCCGTTCTGGTCACACTAAGGGTAACTAACTAACTGTTAATTGCCAGCCCACTGCGTCTCCAACTAACCTTTCCCCACATTCCCAAATCAACCCATTAAGTGCGAAATCCACACCCGCCTGGTGGCCGCGGGCGGGGGGTCGGAACAAGGGGATTACTGTGGGGCTAAACTGGAGGCTAAGACTCGGATGCGGTCTATGCACTTTGCGCACACAACACAAGAACAACAAACGACAACAGCAACAACAACAAACTAGTGCCAAAGCAAACAATCTGTTATTGACGTCGACGTCGGCAGCACAATTGTTGTTGTTATTCCATTTTGGACAGCACCTGCAATTTCAGTTGTAGTTTCAGTTTTAGTTTTTGGTTCTCGGCGAACGGACGCGCCTTTGGATAGTACATATTACCTACCTATAATATATTTTTCGTTTATTTGCGAGTGAGTTTTCCCACCCCCACCCATTGTTTTGCCACCAGTCCTCAATCCTCCCTTTTGGCAGTGCTAAAATCGATATTGGCCGTGGTCCGTTTGCACCTGGAGGAGCTGTGGCTCAGGTAAGCGAACCTTGGTCGCCTAACCATCCTTCTTCCTGCCGCGAAACTTATCGGCCTGCCAGAACACACACAGAAAGGCCAACCAACCGGCGATGTTGAGGACCAGGATCAAAATCAGGGCGTAGAAGACCACTATTATCACCTTCTGCCGACGCGATCGTTGTTTCCAGGGAATGGGACGGGATAACTGGGGGATCGGTGAGGATGGGGATCAGAAGGTCACAGGAGTAGTTGTAGTTTCAGGGAAGAAAGCAGTACAGCTAGGCGCACCGGCATCCTCAGCACGTGTCCATCTGGGAATGTATAGCTTTGCTCAGGTTTTTAGGATAAGAACGAGGTCAAAGTCTACTAATCAGTGAGATTTGTGATGGTAATGATAGGAACTATTTGATATGCGATAAAATGTTACCAAAACTGTGAACAATGTTAATCTGATTTTTTCCTTATATCATTTATTATATTCCCGAATATGGTATTATGTAAATGTTAATGTAGTTCAGAAGTTTATAATCGGTTTATTACTCAGAGAAAAAAAAGAACAAAAATAGTCATCCATCGGGTATTATTTCATATAAATTTTGGTCCCATCCGTTTTTATATCAAAATGATATATCCGTACATATGATTTTGTACCATATTGATATAAAATCGTACCATTTTGTTATGGAAAAAATTATATGAAACAATATCAGTTCCATATTTTTCCGTTTTTTTCTCTGTGCATTTTATAAAGTAAAAAAAATCCTTTGCAAGGGTATATAAAAGAAAAATTAAACTTTGTATAAATTATACATATCGAATCAATTTCTATGAATACAAACATTACTAATGGCCATATATAACAAGTACGCAAATCATTTCGGAAACCTGTTTGCATAGCACTAGAAAAACATGTAACATTCATACACAGAACTATCAAGCCAATTTAGCATAATTTCGATCTTTTTACTATTATCATTTTTCAAATCTGTTGGTTACTAATTGACCATATTTAAGGAACTTGTTATAGCTTTGAGTGCTGCCATAACCAGGAAGTAAAACAATACTTTTCCTAGGCATTTATTTTAGCTTAAACTTTGTACCTTAGCTTGTATAAATTAGAATCTGGGAAGTCTCTGCTAATTTGTAGATTGGAGAGGGCTCAATATTTACGACACTGAACTGATTGTGCCCTTTTTTAACCCAATGTAGAAGCTCTAACAATGCTCAGGAAATATTTGCTACACAGAGAAAATTTTTTATGAACGTTGCACTCAAATTGAGAATTTTTTACTTAAAATATAACCAAGTACTCACTTTAAGTGTAAAATACTCACTTTCAGTAAAACTTTTAAAAAGAATATACCTTGGAATTGAGTCTTTTTCGGGATTTCTTTCTCCAAAAATGGGGACAAATGAAGGGGGACAAGGTGAAGATATTAGGCTTTTTTTTTTCAAAAATTTTCCACAAAATTAATCTTTCCTCAAATTGAAAATTCAAATACTTAATTGGAGAACGTCAGTCTTCTTGAGACATTTTCTGTGTACTGATTTTCTCATTACTAATTAGATCTCTTGCACATGATTCTAATGAAAATTGCAGTATAAAAGTGATGTATTTGGTATAGTTTACATTAATTTGGTAAATTTACATATCTCACTTGAACTTCGTTAAATGGTTTTAAGAGATTTTTCCATAAATGCTTGGTTATCACTAAATTAGGTGGACATTCATAAAATTTTATTAATGCTCCATTCACTGAATAATGTTATCCTTCTTCAGCTTGTCCAGCTCCTCCTGTCCATAACCCAACAGTTCGCTTAGCACTTCATCAGTATGCTGACCCAGAATCGGAGGAGCTGTGCGGGCATCATTCCTCGCTTCGCTAAAAACCACCGGAGGACCCACCACCTTGACGGTTCCGTCTTTCGGATGGCGCAGGCTCTTGACCAAACCAATGGCCTTAATGTGTTCATCCTCGAAGACCTCGGGAATGGAGTTCACTGGTCCCACGGGAAAGGAGGCGCCTTCGAAGAGCTTCATCCAATTGCGCGAGGTGTCCTCGGCTAGCATTTCCTCCAAAATACTCAGCAGCTCCTTTCGATTTTCCACACGATCTTTGTTGGTCCTAAACTTTGGATCCTGCGGCAAATGTTCCACTTTCAAACGACGACACAGATCCTCAAACTGAACATCACTTCCAGTGCCCAGGGTGAGATAGCCATCCTTTGTCTTGAAGCTCTGATACGGAACTATGCTCGAGTGGGCGGTGCCCATCCTGCCCGCTTCCACCCCCGAATTCAAGTAGTTACTGCCCACGTTGAGCAACAAAGAGCAGCAGGTGGATAGCAGGTCCACGTCGATCTTCTGCCCGCGTTGAGTGCGGGTTCTCTGAAAGAGGGCTGCTAGGATAGCTCCATGGGCATAGAGCCCCGTGGACATGTCCGTCACGGCCACGCCCACCTTGCTGGGCGGTCCCTCCCGCTCCCCGGTGATGTGCATCAGTCCGCCCACCGAGGAGGCAATCACATCGTAGCCCGGCCGCTTGGCATACGGACCCACGGATCCATAGCCCGTTAAAGAGCAATAGATCAGCTTGGGATTCACCTTTCGCAACTGCTCGTAGCCCAGGCCATAGCGATCCAGTGTTCCCGGCACATAGTTCTCCACCAGCACATCGCTAATCTCGGCCAGCCGATGGAGGAGTCCAGTGCCCCGCTTGATATCGATGCAGATGCTCCGCTTGTTGCGATTGGGGGCCAGGAAATAGGCGGCATCTTTGCTCTTCTCCAGAAAGGGTGGTCCCCATTTCCGCGCCTCGTCGCCAAAATGCGGACGCTCCACCTTGATGACCTCCGCCCCGAGATCCGCTAGAACCATGGTGCAATAGGGACCGGCGATGATGCGCGACAAGTCCAAAATCCGGATACCATGCAAAGGGTGTCGCTCATCCACATCGCTGGCATTATCGGAACCATTGTTGTTCTTATCGCCAGCGGCTGCAAAGTTTCTCAAGCTCTGGCGGCAAACTCCGTAATTAACAAATCCCCGGCCGAGTCGCAAATTCAGTGACAACATGGTTCTTTTTTTTTTTTTTGTTGCTTGTGGGTCAACTAATCTGTCCGGGTAAAGAATATAATGGGTGTGGAAAGTTTTGCCGGCCAACTTGATCCGCGGGTACTTTTATCGTCACTGAAAGTGGCCCTCCATCCAAAAGTCGCCAGAAGCTCGTTGTCTTATCTCTTTTCTTTGAGGGGGTTCTCTTAAAAACTCACCTAAGAGTGGGAGCTTTTTAACTATCTTAACTCTGAGATAAACATAGTACTTCAGATACCCAAAAAAAAACCAAACAAAAACAAGAGAGAACGCTATATCGGGTTGGTGTCCCGACTATCTAATACCCGTCACTCAGCTAAAGGGAGTGCGATGGAGATGAATATATAAAATTTGTTTAATTGCGCATAACTTTTTAATGAATGGTCCGATTTAAAAAATGTCTTTTACATTTCGATAGGTATAAATATACACAACAAAATTGCATTTATACTTCTCGGAAATCTTGAAAGGTGTGGGCGTCAGACACATTTTAAAATCGTTAGTGGGCGATTGTGGGCGTGGCACTCGGCTGAAATAAACTTGCGCTGCGTAGGAAGCCCAAGAATATGTGTGGAAAATCTCAACCTTCTGGCTTTTGTAGTTTCCGAGATCTCATCGTTCATCCAGACAGACGGACATGGCTAGATCGACTCGGCTAATGACCCCGATCAAGAATATATATACTAGGGTCGAAAACGTTTCCATCTCCCTGTTACATACTTTTGCAGGAATACAATATACCCTTTTACTCTACGAGTAACAGGTATTACTACCTCTCTTTCTCTTCAGTTCACCTTGGGGAGTTTCCACCTGAGATTGTCGCGAATCCTTTCGGTTTCCAGTTGGTGAACTGCTGACCACAAGATAATGAGTGGTTAGTCATCCACGTTGGCATACTCATTAAATACAGATCGAGACAGGCAATTATCTTGCTGCATTGTGTTGTTCTGTACTCCGATTATATCACCTCGCTGACATCTTGGATAGCGTGATCTTGGACTAATCGGCGGCTGAAAGGCATTTATATTTATACGAAAGCAAAACACGCATTTTGTTTTTCTTGAAAAATTGACAAGTACAGAGCCTAATGTGGGCCAATTATTTCCTAATGACCAGCACAATTAAAAAGTAATTTGAATGCCGTGGCTGGATAACTTACGCCTGAATGCTCACCATAAGTGTCAGACGGATCAGTGATCTGTAAATACCAAGTTTAGTGATCTTAATTGATGGACACAACTGGTTCGTCCACGCGCAGGCGATTAATTAAGATTCATGCACAGAAACAGAAATGTATGCAAATTAAATCAGTGCTAATACTTTAGGGCTTCCTAATTTGATGTTGAGTAAGACATTATTAAGAAACTAAAGCTTATCTCAATTAGCACTCTCAATGAGCTTCAGAAATTGAAATTAAAGAATAAGATAATTTTTAGGGTAAGAATTTTCCAGTAAATTTATATTTTTAAAATATTTGAAAACCTTCTGAAGATATCACACAGTTTGTAATAATTAATTCAATATTTAGGGCTTCCTAATTTGATTTTGAGTAAGACTTTATTAAGAAACTAAAGCTTATCTCAATTGGCACTCTCAATAAGATTCATAAATTGAAATTAAAGACTAAGATAATTTTTAGGCAATTGACACTCTAAATAAGATTCATAAATTGAAATTAAAGAATAAGATAATTTTTAAAGTAAGAATAACCACTAAAATTATATTTTTAAAATATTTGAAAACCTTTTGAAGATATCACTCAGTTTGTATTAATTAATTCAAACCAACAATTCTTATGCACCATTCTTGAGCTTGGAAGCAATTTTCTCTTGTGTAAAATTTCTAGCTAATTTTAGATAATACCTGTTTCTGCCTCGTCACTCGCCTGTTACCAAGGTATAAAAATAGGTTCAAGGTTCTAGTTCCTTGGAAGTGTTTTTCAAGCGCTGGCTTTTCCCCCGGAAGCCTCGCCTCGTGGAATCAATATTTATTTTCAGAATGACGTTGCAGTTACGATGTGCGATGATCTCAGGTTGAGGAACTGGAAACAGAAACCGAGGGGTCAGCATACATAGCTTTAACTGCCCGATCCGATAGCTATATGGGCTATAGCCCATTTGATTCTCGCCGATGTGTGTAATTAACGATAGGAGTCCTCCCTTTGTTCGCGGATGTAAACAAGGGCGATAGCATTCCGGGGCTTCGAATTGAATCTTAATCACTTGGGATCAAGAGTTCAGGCCATGTAATTGTCGATCTATGACGCACTTGCTCGCTTTATGGCCACATTTCCTTTGGGCCAAATGGGAATCACAATTATTATGATCTTAAGAGAGCCGAAGAAGAGAACCAGTTTGGTAGCTATAGAGCTTGAGTGAGAGATCGCGAGATCGGGAGATCGGAGAGTCGGGCTTTAAATACTCTGTGGCAAGCTTGGCCAGCGTTTATTTACTCAGCTCGTCTCGTTCGCGTCGGTTCGGCTCGTGCATCCAGCAGATATCGTTATATATATAGATAGAGAAACCGAAAGCGATACTGATACCGAATCTAGATGCAGATTGAGATAGATTCCTGAGTGCAACAAAATGAAAGCCGGCCAAAAAAGGCTGCGCATGCGTCGGCAGCGCCCCAACTCGAGTTATTCGCGAGTGCATCCCGCATCGGTTTTGGCCAACTAGTGGCCAATGCAGTCAAGAGATCTCCGACTATTAGCCAACTGACCAAAAAGCAAAGAAAAAAAAAAATTATAAAAAGCATCTCGTCGAGCTCTCGGCAAACTCGGCACCGAAAAATTGTGCAAGTCCAAAAAAAGTCGATTGCAGTCGTCGTCAGCTGCGGATTGCCGATTGCAAATTGCACAATCCTGGCAACCTGTTGGCTGCTGTGTGTGTACTGTGCTTGTGTGTTTACCGTGTATCTGCCAGATACACCATCTATATATATATTTCCCCCCATCCAGTGGAGTGTTGAGAAAAAAGCATCAAAATTGCTGTGCTACTCTGTTCCAGGATCCTGGGGTACATCATGCGCCGGTTCCTGCGCTCGGCCATGATTGTCTTCAGCTGGTTCGTGGTTCCCTACAGCCGGTACACCAACATCAAGGTGATCCGGCGCAAGTTGCCGCCCATCCGGAGCCACCTGCTCGAGATACCCGCCGTCGACCTGGCCAAGCTGATTCGCACCAGAAAGGTGAGTAAATCCTTACTGCTAAAGCTCCATTCTCCATTCCCTGAAAATGGGTCACTTACGCAAAAGAAACCTGGCAAATGGGTTGGCCAAAATGTTGCCAAATCAATGGAACGACCGTTGCCACAGTAGCCGTTTCTGTTTTTCTTGCTGTTTTTGTTATTGTTTCTCTTGCCACATTTATTAGATACTTGCTGTGTGTGAAGTTGGCCATTACTATTGATTACTATGGCAGCCATCTCTTCAGGAGTCGCTATGAAAAAGTTCGACAGAAAGTAAAAACCCATAAAACACAATGACTTTAGTTTTCATTTTCTCACTTTAAAAGACGCGGAGCACTGGCCCCCTAACATTTCAATTAGACAAGAAAGCCATAAAAAAAAGGTCGAGGGTAGAAGCTTTGGCTTTGGCAAGCGAAGGGTTTAATACCCTTTCAAGCTTATTAAATTGCTTTAAACAGAAATGAAGAACTATATAAAAAAGTTAACTTCAAAGTCAAGAATATTTTTGTCAAGCAGAGATTTTAAATTCTTTGAGAAGTATAGCAAATATATATTTTACTATTTACATTTTTAGTTTTTTGTTCAAGTTTAAATTTAAGGCTTCATTATTATAATTATAAAGAGAAGTGAATACCTTCTAAAATATAAATTAAGTATTTTAGTGCATTAAAAAGTCTGAGTATTTTTTTAAGGTCATAATTAGGTTACAATTGCTTCACATTAGAGCAATTTTGTAGGCATAACCATAAATAACGAAACTTTAGGGGTCAATAAGCTTAGTTCAAATATGTAAAGTTCACCACAGTTACACATCATAAGCCATAAAGTAAAGAAGCAAAACAAAAAACCTTGTAAATTTGTTTATAAATTCAGATAAATGATTATTTGTAATTTGCCGTTTCGTTGCCTTTGGAAGATTTTGTGAAAAAAATTCCTATGGCGAAATTTGCCGGCAGTCTGTCTAATGGAAACGTTTTTAATTATAATCCTGTTTTTAATGCGACTTTTCGAGAAACATAACAACCCTATCCGGAGAGTATTACCGCCAGATGAAATCGAAATCAATTTGGGTTTTTTTTTTTGCTTCGTTTCCATTTCTACTGTCGTCACAAGCACTTAAGCCAATTGGCCCAAAACAGAGGGATATAGACAGGCAGACAGACGAGGCATTGAAGAAACCAGCGGGTTAGTCATCTAAAAAATATTAACCAAGCGGTTTTACGATGCGAGCACAAATTTCGCAAAGCATTATTATACACACAAGGCCTAGACGTCTGGGTCTTGGCTGCTTTATCGAAGCTTAATCGCTGAGTATATCCATATCATATCCAAATCCCAGATCTTATTTGTTGCCATCAATTACATGCCACATGTGCCTTTGTTTCTTTGTAAATCTCGGCGGGATGTGCAAGATTTTCATCCACATCGTGTGAGGTCACCACTTGAGAGACCTTAATCCGCCCTCCAGTTACCATATTTTGCTCAATGGGCTGCCTTTGTTTAATCGCATTTGCTGCATGCACTTGGTCACTTGGGTAGTTGAGTTTTTAGTGCACGTCCGTCTGAAGTACAAAAGTTTTATATCATTTTGTTTTTTTTTGAATTTTTTTTAGTGGCTTCTTTAACTGCTTTTGTCTTCTTTCGGTCAGGCACTCATATGTATATGGTGCGTATGACTGCTAAATATTATTATTTTAATTATGCTTTTTTATATGTTTTTTCCCCTCTTAATTGCCGGCTGTTTCATTGTCATAGGTTAAGCATTGCCTCACGACGAGCCAAGCGTAATGATTTTGTAATTGGCATTATATCAGAACCCGCATCTAGTTAACCGATCGGCTATATTAAATAATAATCGTTGTTGTTAACGACTAGAAACTGCGTTTAAGAAAGTGATATTGCTAATTGCCTTTGTCCGTCGTCTTAAAGTGGATCTATTAGGTCTTTGTTTTCGGAAACGAGTGGGGGGTTTTGAAAAAAAAATACTTAAGACGACGGTTCATAGACCGGTAATAGATGAGCTATCTGAAATCTGCCCATGTGAAATTTGTACTTGAATCGCATAATTCGTGTTTCGTTTTCGTCAGTTTGTTTTGCTCCGCCAGTCGACTCTTTTTAGCACGTACTTTATACACCATATATGCATATATATATCCGAGCATATATACTCGACGAAACTGTGCCTGTGTGTCGCGATTTCTTTATACTATATGCTATATGCCACAAGATCTTTTCCACTTTGTAAACATCGAACGTTGGATGGTATCGGTATCGGAGTCGAAAGCTTTTCGGTCGCTGATTTCGTATACCCCGCGGAGCCCTCGAGACCCCATTATCATTATCCGTTGCATGTTGTTGTCTTGTTGCACTGTGTTTACCTGTCACTGATTTATTATTACACTGGAAGTCATTGAAAAAGTCAAGTAGCCTTAATTTTAATTATACATAGGTATGGGTTTGGCTTTTATATACACCGGTGCATCATTTGTGCGTTGCATGGGCCTGTATTATAAGGCGAAGTCGGGCAATTTATGTCTCAATCCAAGGTATAAATGGCCTTCTGCCTCCGATTACCCAGATTAACTGAAATCAAGTTCAGAGGTTAGACGATTGTGGTTCGCGGTGTTCGGTAACGAAAAATGTGGTTTACTTTTCTGGTTTCCATTTGATTGATATTTAGCTATCAGCCAAGATCGGTTTCTTATAGCACATACATATGTGCCTAATTGATACGTGTTTCCCCCATCAATTAACTAATCAGATCGCTGCATTAACGCTGCCTTTTGAAAAGCGAGTGAGAATGTGATTAATTATAGCATCGGCCACTGATTACGACTCTAAATACTGATGAAGGGTGATTTAATTGTGGCGTTTCTCGGTATAGTTATAGGTTTATTGACTGATAATTTCATGGGTGGCATGTGATTCATTAGAAATCTATTCGAAAGCTACGTGTTTTGATCTATTGATTGCTTTATTACTGGTGTATATCCAAATTCTTTTATTTCTGTCTCGTTTTGTTATATAAATTTGTATACAGCCTTTTTGGTTTTATTGATATAAATTCTTTCTTTGCGAATTAATTGTGACACATAAGTGTGCAAGCAATTAATTGATGAAAACGTGCTGTAGCCAATGGATCAGCTATTTATTGTTCCTTTTTTCATTCACACCTGTTTTGAATTTGAGTCATTTTGGTACAATCTATCAAGCCTTTGTTATCTTTTGTCTAGATCCATTGAGCTGATAACTTGTTTTCTAGCTTTGATTTCCACTTTACTTTGTTCAACCACTTAAGATATTGGGTAATCTTAGACCATAATACTCCTATTATTATGTATGATTGTTTATTGAGCCTCAATACTTTTTATTTCCTCAATGCAAATTTGAATAATACATTGTGGATAGCTCAAATCATAAATTCTGCACTGAGGAGTGACGCGGAAATCAAGCTGAAGGCTATTGATTGATATCTCAATTGCCGCATGTCACTGGCTTATGTATTTTATCATTCTTTGACCAATGTTTGGGATTGATGAATGAATCAATTTCAAGAATAGCTCACTTTGAACCGAGACCCCAAGAGTTCTGTACCCCTTTGGACATTACTCATACGTCATGGGGACACTGCATGCAGCGTAGAGTGAACGTCACGACTGCAAGTTGTATTTGAGTTTGTCTTTTTATTGATTTTAATTTAACACAAATTGCTTTTCTGCTGTGGCACTGGCACTGGCACTGGCCGCGGCTCAATAGCCTGCTGAATTGATTGCTGGGAATGAATACGGTGGCTATGGGAATCCGGGTGGAATGTGAGCTGCGGAAATACTCAAACATTCTTTTTTGCTTTCCACTTGCAGATTAAAAGCGAAGAAGTCGTGGAAGCCTATATCGAACGATGTCGACAGGTGAGTTATTGTGGGAAATAAATACCGAATACTAGAGCACGGGATTAGAAACTCGAATGAGTAAATTAAATTTATTGACAGCTGGATATAATTTTATTTCACTATTTTTATTACACCTTATTCCACAAAAGAATGAAATTCGAAGGAATCGTTAAATTTTTAATGGCTGAAACCATAAAGCTTAACGATTCTGAATAACGCAAAGAGAACAAATAAGATTATAAATTTTATGAGACAGATTTTACTACCAATGGTAATTTACAAACTCAATTTTTTTGGAAATGAATAAGCACATTTTGAAAGAAAATATTAAATGAATTTTAAATACCAGCTTAAATATGATCTTTATATGAATAAGAATTAATGTTTAATGATAATTGATCATTTTTATGATCTACGAGTACTCAAAAATGTCAGCTTTGAAATAGTCTTTATAAGGATTATTATCATCAATATTTTTTAATAAAATACAGAAATTTCTTGAATAGTAGCAACGGTATTAAACAAGGAATTTCTATTTTACTACCAATGGTGATTTAAAAACTCATTTTTTTGGAAATGAATTAGCACATTTAGAAAGAAAATATAAAATTAATTTAAAATACCAACTTTAAAATGATCTTTATGTAAATTAGAATCATTATTTAATAATAATTGATCATTTTTTTGATCTATGAGTACTCAAAAATGCAGCTTTGAAATCATCTTTATGAGGATTATTATTAAGAATATTTTTTAATAAAATACAGACATTACCTAAATAGTAGCAAGAGATTTGAAAAAGGGATTTTCATCTATCATCTTTCAGGTGAATCCGTTGATAAATGCCATCGTGCAGAATATTTTCTAATAAATTAGCAGACTTTACCTAAATTGTAGCAACAGTTTTGAACAAGGCATTTTCATTTAACATCTTTCAGGTGAATCCGTTGATAAATGCCATGGTACAGAATATTTTCTAATAAAATATAGAAATATAGAAATAAACTATGGATTTTTATCTATCTATATTCCAGGTAAATCCGCTGATAAATGCCATCGTGCAGGATCGCTTCGAGGAGGCTCTGGAGGAGGCCCGTGAGATAGACAACGTGATAGCCATGGGCATCAACAGCGTGGACTCGATGGAGGAGCTGACGCCGCTGCTGGGCATTCCGGTGACCGTGAAGGAGAGCATCGCCGTCAAGGGGATGACCAACCAGGCGGGTCGCGTCTTCAAAACGCCGCAGATAGCCAAGTCGGATGCGCCGGTGGTGGAGCAGATCAAGCGCTCCGGCGGCATCATTCTGCTGGTGTCCAACACACCGGAGCTCTGTTTGCTCTGGGAGACGTACAACAATGTGACGGGTCAGACGAAGAATCCGTATGACCTGAAGCGCACGCCGGGCGGCTCCTCGGGCGGCGAGGCGGCCCTCCTGGCCAGCGGTGCCTCCCTGCTGGGTCTCACCTCGGATATAGGTGGCTCCTCCCGCCTGCCGGCCATGTTCAGTGGCATTTGGGGGCATAAGCCCACGCCCTATGCGGTCTCCTTCAGGGGTCATCATCCCACAAGTGACTTTCCCAAGTGGGGCGACTTCTTCACCATCGCACCGATGACCCGCTACGCCAAGGATCTGCCGCTGCTGCTCAAGTGCATGAGCGATCCGACGGGTCCCAAGCTCACCCTCGATCGGGCGATCAGTGTGAATGGGATTCGATTCTTCTTCATGGACAACGACGGACCGTCCGGGATGATGCGACCCCTGAGCAGGGATCTCCATGCGGCCATCAATCGCGTGGCCAACGACTTCAATGCGAAGCGGGTGAATATCCGCAAGATGAAGTGGTCGCTGGACATCTCGCTGTCGGCCATGCTGACCATGAAGAACATCGAGACCATCTACCACAAGACGGAGGAGGGCGAGCAGCCCAAGACCGTGTGCAAGGAGACGGTCAAGTACTTCTTCGGCTGCTCCGACAGCATTTTGCCATCGGTGATCTTCGGGCATCTACAGAACTTCATGAAGATCATACCGAATTCGCGGCACAAGCATTTGGCCAGCATCATCGAGGCGCTCAAGACTGAATTCAAGGAGATGCTGGGCAACGACGGCGTCTTCCTCTACCCGACCTTTCCCAACACGGCGCACCAGCACTATCAGATTTACCACAAGCTGCTGGAGCCCATGTACATGGCGATCTTCAATACGCTTGGCCTGCCCGTGACCAACTGCATGATCGGTCTGGACCGGCGCAATCTGCCCATGGGCATCCAGGTGGTGGCGAATCCGGGTCAGGATCATCTCTGCCTGGCGGTGGCGCGGGAAATGGAGAGACGCTACGGTGGATGGGTGCGTCCTCCATCCGAGGAGAGCCACAGCAACAGCAGCAGTGGGAGCAGCAAGCAGCGTGGCTAGGAGGCTTCAGCTTTATCCTGTGCGTGATTCAATTGTACTTTGTTTTGTTTTTAGCTAATTGAAGAAGAGACTTTAAATGGATCTAGACAAATCACTGTTATCAGCCGGAAACTGGTTGAATGGTAGAAAGGAATCCCTAGAGCAACCTCTTTATCATCACATCACACTATTAAAAAAAACAAATATCATTCGGGACCTTCGAAATTTAAAAATCCCTCCCTCCTATCGCGCCCATTACCCATTGTATTAAATTATTGTCAAAAACTCCTCCTCAGAGCGCTTGTACATCGTATTCGTATTCGTATTATCTTTACCTATATGTAAATATTCGTCTAGCATCTAAGTGTTAGGTTTATGTCGCGCAAAGATCCGGCAAAGATCGATAAATATAACCAGTATGTGTATGTACGTTTTGTAGCATCTCGTTTAAACTTTAAACCAACTTTACAACTTTACGACTTTTGCAAAGAACCAAATTCGTTGAATAAATACGTAACAGACAAAATATTAACCGAAATTTCCACTTCTGTGGCGCAATTGCCGCCGAAAAGCAGTTGGCCTCCACTTGGAAGCCATCGAGGGAGGTCCGAGTCCGAATCTCTAAGTCCACGAGTGCTTTGGAATTGGGCTCACCTGGGCAGCGGACCCGAATAAAACAAGTATTAGACGGCTACTAGAGACAATACACGCTCGGGTACATGTACCACTTAATAAATGGTTCCACTTCGCTGCTTTGGGCCAGAGAATCTTACTACAGTCGTTGCTTGATTAATCCATCAAATCATCCATCAATTTAACAATGCTTAGAAGATATATTCTTAATACCCAATTAAGGGTTCTAAAAAAATTAAAATTACATCATAAATCTATTTTATTTTTAAACTATAAACATGGTTTGTAAATGTAACGACTTAGAATTTTACAAGTCTTCAAGTTTTAGGAGTTGTAATTTATGGGTCGTTTCGAAAATGATTAGATCCATAAATTCTCAAATTCTCTGACTAAAAATACCCGTTTTATAAACGAAAAATCCACAACAATGGTAGTTTGGCAATTGAATAGATCCTACTAAAAAAGTATACAAAATTAAGAAAATTTTAAAATATATTAAATGTTTCTTGCTCAAGTCTTAAACTTTTAAATTTTGTACTTTATTGGTCGTTTTAAAAATACATAGAAATTGTCAAATTCTCTAAATAAATTTACAAGAAAAAATACACCAAAATAATTAGTTAGCAATTGAAAGGTCCAATTTAAAAAGTTAATATAAAAGTTAGCATTATCCACACAAAAATTTAGAAAATCTAAATCTAAAAGTTAATATAAACGTTAACATTATCCACAAAAAAATTGAGAAATTGTAAGAATTTATAAAATGGGAGTCGTTATTTAGAATTTCGCCTGTAGTGACTACCTACTTACTCAAAATGCCCAGAGAGACTGGGAAATCTAATCTAATAGCCTTAATCGTGCGCATGCGCAGCCGTTTTCCCAGCTGCCTGTTTAGCTGAGTGTCTAATGCATTTTTGTCATTCGAGTTGCCGAATTTTGTGCACATTTTATTGGCCCGAGACTAAGGCGATTTTGGAGTTGGATTTGGTGTTGTTCGCTAGTTGTTTGCTAGTTTTCTATTGCAACAAATAAAAATATATATTTTCGTGTGCGTGTGTAAGTGGTTAGTTTTCGGCTTTTGGAGTAGCCCAAGGTTGCGCCAATATGGCTTGCGCAATTCCGCTGCTGGCGGCGGCGGCGGCCCGAACGTGGTATTTGGCCAGAAAACTCGGAGGTAACTCAGATTCTTGCCCAAGAATGTGGCGGTCGTTGGCGTTTCCAAGTGTTTCTGGCCAATGCCAGGCGAAAAAAGTTAGTTAGCCGACTGAATTGCCTCGAAATTAGGTGAAAACATTTTCAATTGTCTAGAGCGGAAAACGCAAGTGGCATGACGAAAACTATGGAAATCTCAAGTCATGATTCGACTACCTGTCAGGGAATTACTGGAAGGCGAAGCCTCTCTTTCGCCAGCCGACTGTCTTCTCCCCTTGGAAGGCGCAGTCGACGTCTACCTGAGATACCTGTGCGTTCCAGAGAGCCGAAACTGTTTCGAAATCGAGTAAAATGGAGTGAGAGGCGTTCCAAGAAGATACGAACTGCGGGACGGAGAGAGAGATACGGGTTTAGAAGGAATATGTGTGTACATATATACAAAAGTATAACATTTTTATATATGTATAATATTTAAAAAATGGCTTATATTATAACAAATTAATTTATCACACTAAAAAGTATTTAAATAAAATATTTTTGAGAGTTAAATTAGTGTGTATAAAAACAGTTTTGAAAAAGAAAAATAAAATACTAAAGTTCGTAAGGTTTATGAACTTAAATTAGTGTTTATAAAAACTAGAACCTAGTAATATGGAACAATAAACAGTTTAAAAGAGAATAGATAAAATACTATAGTTCGTAAGCAAAGGTTTATGAACTTCTAGAAAAGTCTTCCATAAAAAGAGCCTAAATTTAAAACCGGAATCAAAAATATCGAGCATTTTAAGGGGGCCATGGCAAGAGCATTATTTAATCCGTCCCTGATTAAACACTCGAACGGTTATCAATTTTTGCTGCCTGCCTTGTACGCCGAATTCCCCGACCTCAGCACTAAGTCGGATCGGATCGGAGATCGGAGAAATATATGTGGAGAGGGAGAGCGGAAATATCATTCCAGTCGTCAGCATTCCAGCCTGACCATAGCCAGAGACCCCAGCCGTATTTCGGCTTCGGAACTGTGCGTTCATTTGGAAACTGAACCGAGAAGCGAGCGGTTGTGTCCGTCTCATAGCCAAGGCCTCACTGTAGTCCCAGTCCACGTTTGACTGTACCAATTGTAACCTTTGTAATCTGCTCATTTGAGGTGACAAATCAATCGTATATTTGTTTACCGTGATCTAAGCAGAGAGATTAAAACTGTGTCGATTACCGTGTTAAATCAACTAGAAATTCAGTGTGATGTTAACCCCGTAAGACTCAGACACGTGTTGCCAAAGACCCCATTCTTTGGTCAGCACGCTTTGAACCCAAAACTCGCTGATGCCACGTGTTTGCTCCAAACGCAACGTGTTGGCAGAAGCACAAGGTTATATATAATTAAATACAGAATTGGCTTAAATGGACACAAACCCTTGCTCTCTACTCAGTTTAAAAAATTTACAAAATTACTGTCTTTATATTTAATGCTGGATCTATAATAGTCCAGAAAACTGACTTAGTGTACCTTTTGTAAAACTAAATTCAGGAACAAGGGATTCTAAGTTGTACTTATGCGGGCTAGCATTTAATCTTTAATGCCTTAACATTAACAAATTTTCGATGAAAGAAGAAAAACGAAAAAACAAAATGAAATGTTGAATGGTGAATTATGAATTATGTGATGGCAGAAGGCGGTTGCCGAGCAGCTAGCACTATTTCTCTTTGGCGGCCTGCGTCTTGCGGGTCTTTGGCTCCGGCGGATCGATAAGATTGCCGTGACGCACCACGTCGATGTGGCCCAGGCGGATCATCTTTTCCTCCCAAACGGAAATCGCTTTTCTGCAAGGCATACAAATATTTGTTGGATATATAATACTATTGAAAATAAAATGGGTAGTTTAACTAAGAAACGGGCGATGGATAATATTTGTAGAATTTAAGTGAAGGGGTCTCATAAAAAAAAGAGCTTCTTGTTAAATATAAAATAACGGGAGAAGTATACATCAGAAAATCACGTGTGCTTTATGAAGCGCTGAGAAAAATTCTGTTAAAAAAAACTAATACTAATAACCAAATTTGGCTACAAAATTCTATATTGATAAAAAAAAACGAAAACTAATCAGAGTTTCTGGTTAAATATCCAATAACGGGAGAAGAATACATTAGAAAATCACGTGTGCTTTATTAAGCACTGAGAAAAGCCCTATTAAAAAAACTAATACTAATACCATTAATACTATACCAATAAAAATAAAATTTATAGAATCCAAATTTGGCCTTACAAAATTCTATATTAATAAACAAATAATTTTAATAATTTTTTTTTTAATAAAAGTATTTGGACTACCCAATCATTATTTTTAGGTATTTTCATATGTACAGGAATCTAGTTCTATATTCCTAATTTAATTTTCTAACTTTTTTTCCCTCAAATTTCAACTTGTAATGATTGTTATTATTTTTATGGTTAAATGTTTATGGTTTTGTGCCACAACTAACACTAAAAATTTAAAAGAAATCTAGTTCCTTATAGTTTTATATAAAGTTCCATTATGAATTCTTAACTATATTCCTAATTTAATTTTCTAGCCTTTCTTTCCCTCGAATTTCCATTTGTAATGACTATTATAATTTTTGGTCAAAATTGTAAGGTTTTGTGCCACAACTAAAAATAAAAATCTGAAAAACCTAAAACCTAGTTCCTTATAGTTTCATATGAAGTTCCATTAAATCCCCTCCCACAAATAAATCCTGAAAAGTGCACCCACCTGTAGAGCTCCATCTCCTTGCGCGACTCCTGCATGTAGACCTCCTTCTCGGAGTCGGAGAGGCGGGTCCACTTGGCGGTGGTCTTCTGGTGCCACTCGCGGTAGGTTTGCTTGGCTCCCTGCGGGGTGTTGGTGCGTTCGCTGGCGATGAAACGCAGGAAGGCGGAGGCGGGCTTCTTGGGGCGGCCCAGCTCCTTCACCCGCTTGCGCAGCTGGCGGCGCTCCTTGGCGTCGACGAGATCCTGCTTGAGCTGCTTGATCTCGGCGCGCTGCTCGTCGGTGAGGGTGGCATCGTACTTGGTGCGCTGCTCCAGGTAGATCTGCTGGTCCTTCTTGAACTCGGCCTGCAGGCGCTCCTTCAGCTGGACGTCGGCATCGGACCAGTTCTTCGACAGCTGGCGCACCGCCTCGATGGTGGTGATCTTGGGATTGGAGGCCATCAGCTTGGGTCGCTGCTCTCGCATGAAACGGAAATAGGGCGTCAGCGGTTTCTTGGGCCGCGGCGGCAATCCGACCTGCTCCTCCAGCGTTTTCGACTGCGCCGCCGGGGAGTTACTGATGCCGGCGGCTGCCAGGGGCCTAGGGGGTGTGAGGTTTCTGTTGTCGGTGTCATTGGCACGAGATGGAGCACTGGGTGGCCAATCTTTGGCTACAACTTGCCTGACTTTGTTCATCAGCGAGCCGATGAGGCCGCCGCGCGACGACAGCAGCGTGGTGGTGTAGATCATGGTCCTGATGGTAGTCCTTCTCCTCCTTGCAGAAGATTAAATTTTATCCACTTAAAGAGCACGGCGAACTTGTTGCTTTTATGGAAAATAAGTTTTACGTAAAAAATGCGGCATTCTCGGTTAAGAGCTGCCACCTGGTGCGTTTCTTTACTTTCGAGCTGCCAGATCGTCAGAAGTTTTTTTAATCGATTCTTTACCATCTCTATTGGCAGCCCCTAACCTTGTTTATTTTTTATACTTTTATTTGCCGACTAAAAACGGATAAAACATTAGATAAAAGCGGTACAGAATGACCAACAATGATGCGGCGGTGGAGACAGCCGGCTCTAGTAGAGCTGGCGGCAGCAAGCAGCAGCCCAAGCTGGAGATCACGGAGAAGGTGCGTGTTTTGTGCCTGCACGGCTACCGCCAGAATGGAGATGCCTTCAAAAACAAACTGGGATCCTTCCGCAAGTTTGCCAACAAGTACGCGGAATTTGTGTTCATCACGGCGCCGCATGTGGCCGCAGCTCTGGAATCTGCCGGGGAGCCTGTGCCGGAGCAGAGGAGCTGGTGGGCCAACAAGGAGGATGGATCCTTCAAGGGAACAAACAAGGGTGGACCCGCTTTTGGCTTCCAGGAGAGCCTGCGCTGCGTGGAGGAGGCGTGGCGGACGCAGGGACCCTTCCAGGGACTCCTGGGCTTCTCGCAGGGCGCCTGTTTCGTGGGCCTCATCTGCGGATTGGCCAAAAAGAAGCGTAGGTCCATGAATATATCCCAAAATATATCCCTTAATCTAACTAAATCCACCCTTAGTGACCTCCATCCGCCCGGAGTTTGCGGTGCTCTCCTCGGGCTTCTTGTCCGGCAGCCTCGTCCACATGAGCGCCTACGAGGAGGCCATCAGCATACCCACGCTGCACATCTACGGCCAGACGGATGAGATTATACCCAAGGAAATGAGCGAATCACTGGCCGCGCACTTCAAGAACGCCGAGCGGCTGGAGCACAGCGGTGGCCACTACTTTCCGGCGACGGCGCAGCAGAAGCAGACGTTCATCAACTTCTTTCAGGACCGGCTGCAGGAGTATCTGGAGCACCAGGAGCTGCAGCAGAGCGGCAATGCCTCGTTCGTGGACAGCGGAGCGGAGGACGACAACGATGCCGAGGTGGCCGCCATGACGGCCGAACTGGACGAGTCTAGTGATTGATGACTTCTTTTTCGTTCGTTTTTAATAATAATTAAATCTTATTATTACAAAAATAATGATTTGATTATAAATTATAATATATAATTAGAACCCAATATTATTTAAATATTCACTCAAGCGCGGGAATCGGGATATTTACTTTTTTGATGACTTTGTGTATTTTCTCAACAAATTCGTATAAATTCCATTTAAAAAGAAACAAACAAGTGTGGGTTAGGGTTGGGGTTAAAATTAAAGCCGAATATTATAAATCCCATTCCAAAGTACAATTTTGTGTCGGAACCAAAGTGATTAGTTCCTTGCTATAAACAACGAAAAATGCATAATTAGCTATTGCGGCTGCGACTGCAGTTGTTGCTTCATTGACCAGGCAGGGAATCCTTCCGGATTTTCGGGGACAAGCGAGCGACAGTTGTAGTAGAGTCTCTGGATTTAGCGGATTTAGTTTGTCTGCTGCTGTTGCTTTTGATGATGTGTTTGCTGCTGTTTGTTGTTCTCGTAGGGGCTGATTGACTGACTGATTGATTGACTGACTGATTTATGCAACCTGCTCCTGTCCGTTCGAGGCCTCTTGGTTTTTCATCACTTCGGGTAAGTCTGGCGGTGCCGAGTAGGGTGTCATGTCCAGTGTCTCAAAGTCGCCCACCTCGTTCCTGAAAAAAAGAGTTTGTCAGTCGGTTTGTAAGCTTGTTGTAAGCGGTACACGTGCCGCTCGCTTGCCTTGTCCGCTAGATAACCCGCAGTTGGCTTATCAGCGACTCACTCGACTCTCACCTGAATGTCAAGCCCAGCTGCGCCGGAGCCTGCGCCTTAGCCGTGGACACCGTCACGCCGTAGTCCTGCAACGTGCTCTCGTCCTCCATGACGTCGTTGTCCTGATTGTATAACCGCTGGTCCACCGGCTGCACCTTCAGTATGCCTAAGATTGATCAGTCATGGAGTTACTTAATAAATAGCTGCGAGGAGCACTCAACTCACCCTCAATCATTCGCTTCAGCTCGGCCACCGTTGTGTTCTCCTTGGCGTCCGTGAAAATGGTGGTCTTCTGCCGCCTGATCATGAGGAACACGTCCTGCAAAAAGAGATCAAAGTTCAGTGGCGATTTTTTCAGTGTGTCATGCTTGGGGGCATGGAAATCCGCAAGCCGTTTGGCACACGGTTATGCGGGGATTTCGATGGCAGGCAGCCTAAGGATGCACTGCATCCTGGGGCCAGGCTGTACCACCACTACTCACCATGTTGCGGAGTTTGTGGCGCTGGCTGCTGCGGGTACTGCTCGGTTTTAGAGGGTTAACCAGGTGGCGAGGCGATGGCAACTGACGGCGTGGGCGGCGATTCCTTTTGCGAGCCTGGAATTTTCCCACTTCTACTTCGCTTGCACCACCGCTGCTGGTCGCTTCTCTTTTCTTTCTGTCCCGCTCGACCGGAGTTGGGGGCGGGCGCGCGTGGGCGTGGCGTGCGGTTCGCGGTACGGCGCGTGTGTGTGTGTTTGTGTGTGCCTGTGTGTTTGTGCAACAGCTTCCTCGGTTGCCCCGCACTTGTAGGTTTTCGTAGTTTTACGATTTTTTTCTGGCCTTTTTCCTTTTGCTGCTGCTTTCTCAACCAATTAGAGCTGTCAAACCATCGATGGCACTATCGATAGTATCGGTACTATGACTGTTCTCACGACCATCGCGAAACTATCGGTCGGGTTTTAGTTCAAAAAATAATTTAATTTGATAAAATAAAATTAACAATATTAAAACGTAACAAATAAATATATATAATTAAATGAATTATAGTTTCTACTTTAAAACATAAATGTATAAAAATATTTATTTTTATTTCATTAATTTTAAATATTATTTAACTAAATATTTCACTTTGTTTTTATTTTCAAAATTTCATATAATTTTAAAAATATTTAAATAAAGAGCTTATACATCCCTGGCACTCCACAGAAATGCACTAAAAAATACCGCGACAACTGTCAGGTGTCACTTTTCTCGTTTCGCCTGTTTTATTTGCCACGAAATGGTTTTGCTGGATAATTCGAACGTAAATAAATGGAAAACTATGCTTAAAATCGATGAAATAAGCCTATTTCCTTACAGTTCATCCTGCGCCTGGAGAAGATTGCCAATGCAGCCAAGAAGGACTCCTCCTTTACGTTGACATTCAAGCGATGTGAGTGGTGACAGCCGAAAAAACATGGACTTTGGGGATTAATGAATGGTATTTAATTAATATTTTCTAGATGATGGCAATGATAAACCCGTGCCGAGGGAAGGACGCCCCCCGCTGCCCAAACCCCAGACCTACATGTGCCTGATACGAGCCCAGTCAAAATCCCAGAAGGTAAACCCGATCAACTTACTTCCCAAGTACTTCTTTAATAACCCACTTTTCCTGCAGATTTCCACCGTCGTCCGGCAGGAGGATGTGCCCACCATGATGGGCATGTACTCGCAGTTCATGAAGAGCAAGATGGACGGCCTGAAGCGGGTTAAGAAGGTCAAAAGCAAGGCCAAGGCGACAAAGGGTTAATCGGGGTAGTAGCTCTTAGATAGATTTTATTTGACTGTTAACAGGTCTTTTGTTTTAAATGCATCATTTTGTACTGTACATTCGCTGGCTTTTATTTGTTATATATGAACATCCCTGATCTGGCGAAGATCGAGCAGCCACTTGGGCAGTTTCCCCTGCCGCAAACCGTAAATGAACTTTGGTTTTATCAGGTCCACCAAACAGTAGAGATCCTCATTCAAGTCGGTCTCGCCTAGCAGACCTTCGTCTACGTAAAGGACATCGATTCCCTGACTAAGTCCACTGTGAAAGGATTCATGGGCCTTGGGCAAAAAGTCCATGTAACCGGATAGCTGGTCCACAATCAGATATCTTGCAATACCATCTGCAAATAGAAAAGGTTAAACCACAAAAAGGAATATAAGAACTCAAGGGAATACCAACTGTCTATATAGAATAACCGCGATTCCAAGCCATTTTCGTATTTTCCCCCTGGAATCAACGTAATGGTAATCTCCGTTTCATCGTAAACTATTTGAGTGGGTTTATTTGGCTTGAGGGTTTTATGAATGCAGTCCTCTGGAAAGCTGAAAATAAATAGCCAAAGCGTTTCCTGCTTAGATCCTACAATGTATTTGCACCAATTTTGGGGAATTACAGGATCGTTGAAGGCAGCTGATGATAAGAGCAACGCTCCACGGTGCTGAAATGCAAATGTTATAGTTATAATGCTAACGAATAGAGTGTAAATATCTCACCTCGTCGAATATGCCATATTCTTTACCTCTCTGCAATATTAAAGGCTGCCCAATGTCATTTAAAAACATTATTAATTATTATGCGCCTAGTGTTTTGGAAAAACATTCCATTTTTTGGTGTTACCAATGAGGACTTTCCAGAAAATCCCACATAAAATTATATTGCACCTATCCATTTTTCTTCTTTTTAAATTTTACCGCGATATTCAAAAATATTTTAATAATATTTTTATACTAGGTAAAATGTTTACAAATTATGTTCAATTTACCTGAAGAAGTTGAATTAAAATTTGTTTCTAAATTACGAAGATCTTACAATTATTCCCTTTACACCATTAAATAAAAAACATCAGTTTAGCTTTATAAGTATAATGGGGTTTCTTCAAACTTTTCGTTTTAGTTAAACGTACATACTGTTTGTTCTATATCTATCACAATGAATATTTGTGTCGCGTGTGTTTCAGTGTGAGATGCGCTTGTCTTTGTCAAAGAATTTGGATCACGATACAATGGAAACAATCGAATTGACTTACATATATGCTAACATTTAACTCGTCACGAACCACTCACTCTTCACGCATAAGTTAAGTGTAAATTTAACCAGATTTCTTTTTGCTTTTAGAACAAAGACAGTCTTTAACAATATCCGAACCCTGCTGCACACCCGATATTGCGATTTAAATGGTTGCTGGGTACTCGACATTTGGCCATTGATGAGCAAGTGTGTGCGTAGATGTTGGATAGAGATGATTACAATGGATAACGTAGGATAATATAGTATATGTAGACGTAAAAAAAGATTCAATCATCCCTATGCCGGTGTACAACAAGAAAATGACTAGAGCACATGAGAGTGCCCATAGAAATAATAACAAATAACTATCACACCTGATCCCGCTTTCGAGTCCGATCGAAATATAGTGATTAAACCAAATTCAAAGGGAACCGGGAACAGGTCTTCATAACTTAGGCGCCGAAATTAAATTAAATTAAATTGGTTAATTTGCATAGGTAACCGAGTTTCAACCGAGCCTAGTTGAAGGTGTTGTAGCGCAGGTTGCTATCCACATCGCCCACATTGCCTCCAAAGCCCGGACTGGGCGGCTGATCCTGGTCCGCCATGAGATCTGCGCTGGACTGCGAGTGACGCCGCTGACCCGGCCACGTCCAGGCATCGCGAATGCTATCGATTAAGCGCTGCGGGAATGTCTTGTACTCCATGTCCACCGACTGAGTGTCGCCAAAGTTAAAGTCGGCCACCTCAACAGTGAAGCTGTGGAAAAAAACAGATTGTAGAATGAATTTCCCATTGATAGGTAGCGACTTCTCACCGATTTCCCCGCTGAATATAATAGGCCACGCCGAAAACAACTAGAATTACGGCCACCAAAGTGCATGTCACGGGCACAACTACAACTGAAAGCTGAGATTGTCGCTGGGCTGCAAGGTAAAATTAAATAAAATAGTTTATAAGCATATAGAAAGATAGGATTTCATTTCACCAACCTTCATACATGTTCATGGTGACCTGGTTAAGTGTTTGGGACACCTGATTGCGTATAAAGAACAGAATGGTCTTGCTTTCGCCAAAGTATCGTATGTACTCATAAGAACAATTCTCGATTGGGTCATAACGTTCGCAAGTCTCATTGCCCGTGGAGTTGTAAGGAGCTGAAAGGAAAACGGATTAGATTAAAACTAGAGCCCTGCTTGAATGTATTCAATGAATTATTTTGAATTTTTTGTTTTATATGAATGCATTAATAAGAATTTTGAGTTTAAGAGAATTGAATGAATTTGAATTTAGAGTTTAATAGAATGGAATGAATGAATGGCATGAATTCCGCAATAATTTAAAGGACAAGTTCTTTTGAAGAAGAAAGGGCCATAATTTTGTGATTAACCTGCATGAATTTTATTTTCTAATCAGCATTGATTTGTTAAAAAATTTCCACTTTTTGTTCTCAAAAGAAAGCACAAAAAAAATCTGGCAAATTCCTTCATTCAATTCGAAATAAATTAGAAAAACATTCAATTTATTTCACATAGAATTGAATTAAACAAATCAGAAATTTCATGGCAAACTATGATAAAACAAAAATTGAATGATTCACGCAGGGTTCTAATTAAAACATTTATGAGGATAAAATCTATTTAAACCTTACTTACCCGTATAAACTTGAGTGCAAATCTCAACTGGCGACGATCCCTTGCAATTGACATTGAGCTGAAGTATCTCCCAGTGTTGTAGCCAATTCTTGCCAGTGGTTCCAAAACCGGTGATGGGATCTGAAAGGAATTCAAGTTGAAAAATAAAATAATATTTAATATTTACCTTTACCTACCCTTGGAAACAATGCGTTTCTGGAAGTAGCCGTAGATCTGCTTCGGATCCTGGGCCACATATTTCTTGTTCACGCAATCAAAAGGTGGCTGAGTGCCGGGCAATAGCGTCAGTTTGGACAGCCTTCGTACTCCCAGCGGATTGACCAGCGCCACGGACACATTCCCAGCGGAATTCTTCTGCTGTTTCAAGGCGCTGGTTAGGTTCAGGCCAAGAAGAGCAGCATTGGCGTGAATGGCCTGGACTAAATCACGTTTGGATCGTGCCGGTGGCTTTGAAGTAGTGCTAGTTGTTGTAGTTGTGGACGACGTTGTGGTTTTTGGAGTGGTCGTGGTGGCAGGAGTTGTTGACGTGGTTGTTGTAGTTGTAGCGGGAGTTGTAGTTGTGGTTGTTGTAGTCGTTGTAGTGGTAGTGGTTGTCGTTGTCGTGGTCGTCGTAGTCGAGGGCGTTGGCTCCGGCGGCAGTTCCAGCGAGGCGACCACTAAAGCCTCCACATCGTAATATTGCTCAGCTTTCGGATATGAGGCCAGATAGTCCAGGGCATTGGACATGCCGAGATATGTACAGTTTTGAAACCAATACGTCTGAATGTGATAGCCTTTCTCGCGCAGAAATGCGAGGTCCGCTTGGGAGAGCGATATGCTGTGATTCACCGCCTCCTGCGTGGACACAAACTCGTGGGGACGCGTCACCTGGCTCTGAATCAGTTCCAAACTGCCGATCAGCAAGTTATCCAGCTTGATTCCCTTCTGCGCCTTGGCCTCCGTCAGCCAGAAGATGATGAACCGCTCCACTTCGACCTTAATCACATGCGTGGCCGGTTGCTCCTGCGTGTAGACCACAGTCCAATTGCTGGTGGCGGTTTTCGTTTCAATCACCTGTAGGTACAAAACAAAGTAGGTAATTGATTAGTATAATTGGTAGCCGGTTTTAGGCACTCTACATGCAAATTAATCCACAATAGTAACCACTGATATGGCCGCGTACCAGGCACAATCGTTAAAACTGTCGCTGAATAGTAATTGTGTAAAATTACCATTCAAATGACGCCATATCAATTGAAGCCACATGGCTGAGATTAGAACTGGAAAAGCGCTCGTCTGTTTGCACATCTCAACTCTGGCTTAGGGAATCGAAATAAAAATATACTAAGTAAAAGTGCCCTATCGTTAACTGCATATTTTATGACGTCTGGTTTCGAAAGAACATAAAGCTATCTAAAAATTGTAGTAAATAAGGCGTAGAAGATAATTTTTTGTAGAAACCCAAATGAAAGATTGTAAGAAAAGTATTAGTATTAGAAAAGTATTATTACAAATTCACATGTTTACAATGTAATGTAATCAATATGACTTTCCTTTCGTATTTTGTTATATATTTGGATGCTGAACTAATTGAAATGAGATTCCTGGAATAATTAATTTCCATACTGTGAAGAGCACAGCTCTTTGACGAATTAGTCATGGATGAATAAACAAATATTTAGACAATTAAACCAATAACATATAGTTCCCTAGAATAAATAAACAAAGAAAGGACAATAATTTTAAATTATTCAGTTTTAGGAAGTCTGACAAAATGGGAATTTAAAGAATTTCTTCCTTACAATTGGGATTCGTTTTATAATTTGTTGAATAATTAAGGATTACAAAAAAATGTACTTTTTAGGAATTCGGACAAACTGGGAATTTTAAGAATTTCTTCCTTACTATTGAGATTTGATTGTTAATTTCTTGAATAATTAAGAATTACAAATAGAATTTAAAAAATTAAATATATCTAAAACCAAATCTTTATTTTTCTGGTGAAATAGCTGCCTGAATCTAGCTTTTTCAAGTAATGGAGTTCTAGAAGCATTGAGAAACATGAATGATAAACAGAAAACTCCATTAACCGATAACGAAATTCTTGGAGATATTTGCTGATAACAGATGTTTAAATTCTTTGTACATCGTTGTGCTTTTTGGTGGGTGAAGAAACTGAAGCCAGCTTTTCTCGCCAGTTTTATGGGCCAGGTTAATGGGCGTAGACTCGCTTGAAATTGCATTTGCATTGGCTGGCAGTTAGTCATATCACTGGGTTTCTTTTTTTCTTTGTTTGATCACGTTCTGGAATCCTTACCTTTTTATTGCCAGTACTGTCGGTCCAGGTGAACCTGTAGGATTTACCCTCAGCAGCCGGTTTTTCGCCATCGAAGAGCGTGGCGGAGACATTTATGGAGGATCCGATGAGTGCCTGATCGGGTGCTGTGATGATGACCGTGAAGCAGGAAACTGTAAAAAGGGGAAATCGTTAGTCTATGGATTTCACCGCCCCTACTCATTATCCCCTAACCAAATCCATAAAAAATTAACCATACTATTCCATACCTGTCTGCAGAAGAGCGTAGAAAAGCAGTGACGACGCTATTGGCGACATGTTCGCCATGCCGATTGGAATTTCCCGTCCACTCGATGCTTTTTATGGAAAATCACTTGGGAGCTTCCCTGCCGCTGATCCCCTCCCTTACCATCCAAATCCGTAATCCAATCCAAGCAACAAACAAAACTTATAACGAAAAAAAAACAAACACAAAGGGGTGTCTCACTTTTCCCCTTGCCCAATACACCCACTTTCACGATCTATACTCTACGTTGAACACGGTTAATTGCTTTCGTTTCGATTGCGAACTATAGTGCTCTATAGTTCTGTTGAGTTTGCAGCGGTGATTCTATTATTGCGTTTTTAATTTGTTCTGCAATTTTTTTTTTGTGAGTAGCAATTAGTGTGGCCGGTTTGAAAACTAGGAAATGTGCTAAATATGGTCGCACTGCGGTCACATTCTACTACATTATCCCGCCTCTTTATTATTTTCAAATTTAAAGGGAATACAAAAATAATTAAGAAACATTTGTATGACTTTTATCAAAACCAATTGATGGAGTAAAAAAAAACTTTAAATATTTAAATAAGTATACAACTTGTTAAAACACAATAAATGGGTTTAAAGCTGACTAAGATATAAATATCACAATCTGAGTCCCCAATTTAAACACTTTAAGGTTAAATTACTTAAATATTATTTTATAATAATATCTCGAATTCACACTCAAAGACTTTTTACCCAAAATAACTTTTTACTTTAAAAAAAACTTCTTAATAAAAAAAAAAGAAGTTACAACAGTTTAAAACCTGACAAAGATACAAATATCTAAATTTTTGTCCCCAATTTAAAAACTTTAAGGTTAAAATACTTTAATATTATTTTATGATTTCTTGAATTCACAATCAAACCTTTTTACCCAGAAAAAAAAAAATTCCCTCTTCAAAAAAATTCTTAATAAAATAAAAGAAGTTACAACAGTTTAAAACCTGACGAAGATACAAATATCTCAATTTTTGTCCCCAATTTAAACACATTAAAGTTAAAATACCTAAATATTAATTGCTATTGATATCTTGAATTCACACTCAAAGACTTTTTACCCAGAAGAAAATAAACTTCCTTCTTTTAAAAAATAACTCCCAAATTAAATACAAGACTTTGCAACAATTTACCTTGTTAAAATACTAAGTTCGATTTATTCGTTAGTTGTAAATACAATAATCATATATGCCTGCGTACATATGCGTGTAGTTGTGTATATGTTAATATTTGAAGTAAACTTAATAGTACAAATGAAAGACAACGAGATGAGAAAGCAATAATTACTTTGGGATTAGCGGACCGCACAGAATTCTCAATACATTGCTCGACGGCGGCGGCGGCGCCGGATTCTACTTCTTCTTGCTCTTGCCCAGGGTGAGCGTGTGGTGGGCGGTGGCCAGCTGCTGCTTGCGCCGCTGGAAGTCGAGGTAGTCCTCCTCGAGCGCCTTGCGCGACTCCTCCAGCTTGCGCTTCTCCTCGGCATGATCGCGCTTCAGCTTCTCGAACTTCGCGTGCAGATCCTTCTCGCTCTCCTTCAGCTCGGCCTCCTTCTCCTTGACCCGCTGCACGAACATCTGGCGCACCTCCTCCTCCTTGGACTGCAGCTCGGCCAAATGATTGGAGCGCTTGGCCTCGAATGTCTGCTGGAACGAGATCGGCTTGTTGTCGCTATCGACATCGCTGAAGCCCATCTGCTCCAGCCGCTTCTGCCGGTACAGCTCGTAGTGCCGCGTGTGTGTCTTCTCGCGCATATCCTCCATATTGGTGCGTATGAGCATCTCGCGTAGCTTGACAAAGTCGCAGTGCGTCTCATTCTCCACCTGAACGGTGCCCCAGGGATACTGGCGGGCGCGGATGAGCTTGTTGCCCACCTTAATGAACTCCGTGCTGCCCACGACGGCAAAGGGAATGTGCGAATTCATGCTGGTATTCGTCTCGGCCACCGTTTCATCGTCGGTGGGGAACTGATAGATGTGCACGCCATTCGTGTTCAGCTCCTGGATGATCTTCGCCTTGAATCGCTGCAGCTCCACCTTGGAAATGGTGTCCGCCTTGGCAATTACCGGAATGATGTTCACCTTGCTGTCCAGCTTCTTCATGCACACCAGATCCAGCGACTTGAGCCCATGCCCCGTGGGGCAGATGAAGTACAGGCAGATGTGGATGCGGCTGTCGTGGCACGTGACCAGCGATCGCTTGATCTTCAGCTCCTCCTGCAGATAGTTCTCGAACTGGGCGTCGATGTAGTCCACCACCGCCTTGAACGAGTCGTCCTTGTTGATCTGATCGCCATAGCCGACGGTGTCGCAGATGGTCAGCTTGAGCCGCACATTGCTCTCCTGCAGCTCGTAGGTGTGGGCCTTCAACTTGACGCTGGGCAGCGTATGGGGACTCGGTGTGGACTCGAAGCTGGTGTTGAACAGCGTGTCCATCAGGGTAGACTTGCCCAGACCCGTTTCGCCTGGGGAGGGAAAAGATTTTGAAAGAGGGGTTAAATTGGTGCCAGATTTGGAGGGGAAACTATCGCCCAAGTGGGCTCAATTGGCCATAGAAGCATTGCGGCATTGGTGTCAGGGTGAAATTGTAGAAAGCGGCCGAGGAAATCGATTGCCGGCCACTTTGCATACTAATGGCTAGCTGGGCGTCTGGTTATTTCAATTGTTTACCCGCATTTCGGTATGTAGGTGATTCACTTTATCTGAGCAATGCACTCCAACATGAGACACTTGAGTACATAGCACAGCCCCGGTCAATTCGATAGCATTTTTACATTAAATCGAACGTACTATTATGATTTCACTTTAAAAAACTTAATTGTAATAAGAGAAAGCTGATCAAAAAAATTTTAATAATCGAAATAATTGTTCTTCATAGCTTATTTTGTTAACAAATTTAAAAAAAAAGTATCAGTATATTGAGTGATTAAAGATTATATTTTCTGAGTTATCAGTCCGTATTTTTCAATGTGTTGTGAGACCACTATAGTCTAAGATATTTTTAGTCCCATTGGTTTTGGAAGTATTAATAGTTTAATTTTTATAATTTAACTGCCTAGTTAAAACCATCATTAATCTATGAAGTTTTTTAGTTAATGATAGGTATTTACAAAACTCAATGCTATTTACTTGGCAACATAGCACAGCGGCGGTCAAATCGATAGCATTTTTTAATTAAATATCATGATTTCACTTAAGAAAAACTTAATTGTAATAGGAGAAAGCTGAAAGTTAATTTTTGTGGTGAAGAGCAATAGAAATATTGTTCATAGCTTATTTTGTTTACAAAAAAAAACAGTTTCAGGAAATTAAAAGAGATATTGAAGATTACATTATCTGAGGTATCAATCCGTATTTTTGAATAGTTCACTGTATTGTGAGACCACTGTAGTCTAAGATATTTTTAGTCCTATTGGTTTTGGAAGTGTTAATTTCTACATAGTCTTGAAATTTAAAGGCCTAGTTTTGAATAATATCATAATTATTCCATGATTATTATTTCATAGTTAATGATAGGTTTTTACAAAACTCATAGCTATTTCCTTGGCCGCCACTGTTTTTACATGCAAGTAAAACTTCGGTTGATTCACTGTGCCGCATACACACTCACACACCGAAAGTGCACCCGCATATACACACCTATACACATGACGTTGAAGACGAATCCGTTCTGGACACTCTTGTTGACCAATTGGTCCGGCAGGCTGTCGAATCCCACGTGCCCCGACTGCTTCAGGTTGCGGAGGTGCACCTCCTTCTTGTTGACGAAATCCACTTCGGCGGACATTTTCCAATAATCCAATCGAACAATCCAATAATCCGGCACAGATCGGATCAAAAGTATCGCGCAAAGGCGTCGCCAGCGAGTGATAAAGTGACCAGACGCCAAAATACCAGCGGCTTGGAAAAGTGTGTGAAAATTAAATAACCAGGGAAAATTAATTTTATATATTTTCTGAGGCCTAGGCATTTTAATTAATTAATTTAAATAATTCAGTAGCTTAAATATAAAACACAAATAAATATTTAAATAATTTTTTAAGCAGTCTGGCAACCTGGGCGACGATCTGGCAGCACCGCCTTGCTGATGTGTCGACAACTGTCAAAAGTTGCATGTTAACCCAAAGGCGAAAGTTGAACTCCGAAAATTAAAGATATTTTAACACTTAACTAACAAGCTGATCAACCAGGATGTCCAAGGACGCCAATCCCAAGGAGGCGCTGATCAAGGCGGCCTACGCCGATGTGCACAAGTTCGGCAATAACCGCGAGTTCGACAAGGCAGTCAAGGCAGTGAATCGCAGTATGTTTTTGGGGCCTACTAACAATATAACCACAAGATTACCTATTTAACGATATTCCGTAGTCCTAGGCGTTGCTCCCGACGACCCGACGGCCCTGCACTGCAAGGTGGTGTGCCTGGTGCAGCTGTCCAAGTTCGAGGAGGCCTACAAGTTCATCGAGAAGAACCGCCTGTCGTCCCTGATTTTCGAGAAGGCCTACTGCGAGTACCGCCTGAACAAACAGCAGCAGGCGCTGAAGACCATCGATGATGCGGGCCTGCAGACGCTGCCGGATAACCTCAAGGAGCTGCGCACCCAGGTGCTGTACCGCTTGGAGCGCTACGATGATTGCCTGGACTCCTATCGCGATATTATTAAGAACACCAGCGATGAGTACGAGGACGAAAGGCGCACCAATCTGAGCGCCGTGGCCGCCAACCTGGCTGTGGACCAGGCGAAGGAGGTGCCCGAGGTGCCGGAGGACACGTACGAGCAGTACTTCAATAGCGCCTGCATCCAGGCCAATCGGCAGAAGTACGCCGAGGCGGAGCGCAAGTTGCGCACCAGCGAAAAGCTGTGCCGCGAGTTTCTCGAAGAGGAGGGCGCCTCCGAGGAGGAGATCATCGAGGAGGTGGACGTCATACGCGTCCAGCTGGCCTACGTCCTGCAGCTGCAGGGCAAGATCAAGGAGGCGGGCCTCATCTACGCCGACTGCCTGCGCCACAAGCCCAAGGACGCGGCCCTGGTGGCCGTGGCCAGCAACAATTCGGTGGTGATTAACAAGGATCAGAACGTGTTCGATTCCAAAAAGAAGATACGTGCTGCCCTGGCCGACGCCTGTGAACCGAAGCTCACGTCGCGCCAGAAGCAGGTCATCGCTGTGAACAACTGCCTGCTGGCCTTGTACACCAATGCCGGCGACCAGGTGCAACAGTTGAGTCAGAAGCTGGCCCAGAGCTACCCGCAGGTGGAGTTCGAGGCGCTGCTCATCCGCTGCAGCCAACTGGCCAAGGATCGCAAGCACAGGGAGGCCATCGACCAGCTGCAGAAGTTCTCTGCCGCTCACAAGTCGCACGAGTTCGTCAGCAAGTTCGCCGTCATTCAGCTGCAATTGCTTCAGGTAGAATATCACATACATTTTAGAGCGCTGCATGAATGGATTCATTGAATTATTTTGAATTTTTTGTTTTATATGAATGAATTAATTAGAATTTTGGGTTTAATAGAATTGAGTGAATTTGAATTTTGAGTTTAATAGAATTGAATCAATTTGAATTTTGAGTTTAATAGAATGGAATGAATTTGGATTTTTCAGTTTAAAAGAATTGAATGAATTTGCATTTTGAGTTTAAAAGAATTGAATGAATTTGAATTTTGAGTTCAATAGAATTGAATGAATTTGAATTTTGAGTTTAATAGAATTGAATGAATTTCAATTTTGAGTTTAATAGAATTGACTGAATTTCAATTTTGAGCTTAATAGAATTGAATGAATGAATATCATAAATTCCGGAATAATTCAAACGACAATTTCTTTTAAAGAGGAAAGGCCATAATTTTGTGATTAAATCTGCATGAATTTTATTTTCTAAGCAGTTAACATTGATTTGTTAAAAATGTTCCACTTTTTGGTTTCAAAAGAAAGCACAAAAAAAATGTGGCAAATTCAAAAAATTTATAAAAGTTATTCATTCATTCATTCAATTTGAAATGAATTAGAAAAACATTCAATTTATTAAATGTGAAATACATTTTATTTCACATATAATTGAATTAAACAAATCAGAAATTTCTTGGCATACTATGATAAAACAAAAATTGAAAAATTGTATGATTCATGCAGGGCAATACATATATAAGAAAATTTCAAGATACAATTTTATCCTTTTTCGCTTTAGGGCAATCGCAAGGATGCCATTGAGACGCTGCTGTCTCTGGGCGAGGCCAAGTACAAGCCCGGCGTGGTTTCCGCTCTGGTGTCCCTTTACCTGGGCACGGACAACAAGACGGCCGCCTCGGCACTGCTTAAATCCGCCGTGGACTGGTACAAGAAGAACAACGTGAGCAGTGGCGATCTGTCGGACATGTGGCGCCAGGCAGCCGAGTTCCATTTGCGCGGCGGAGCTTCCGAAACGGCCGCCAGCTCGCTGGAGGAGCTGCTCAAGTTGAATCCCAACGATACGAAGGTTTTGGCCCAGCTGGTAATCGCCTACGCCCAGTTCCAACCCAAGCGGGCGCTCGAGCTCAGCAGGAAGCTACCGAAGCTGGAGACGCTGACCACGGCTTCCGAAATCGATGCCCTGGAGGCGGCCAACTGGGTGATGTCGGCCAAAGCGGCCAAGAAGTCGGCCAGTGCCAAGATCGAACCCTCGCCGAGTACGCCCATTGAGAAGAAAAAGAACCACAACCGGAAGCGAAAGGGCAAGCTGCCCAAGAACTACAACGCCGAAGTGGCTCCCGATCCGGAGCGGTGGTTGCCCAAGTACGAGCGCACCGGTTTCCGGAAGAAGCGAGGCGGAGCGCGAGGCAAGGATGTGATCAAGGGATCCCAGGGAATGGCCTCCGGAGCAGCCGATCAATAGTAAGCTTATTTGATGGTGAATCTTTATAGATTATGTTTCTAATTTGAATTTTCCCCTGCAGCGATATGTCGAACCGCGTCAATCTGACCAAGAATTCCCCCGTCACGCCAGTTATCCAAGAGACGACTCCCGGCCCGAGGCAGCAGCACCGCAAGGGTGGCCACAAAAAGAAGAAGGGCGGCCGCTTCTAGGTTTACAAAATGACCATATGAAATGCCTTTATACTTTCGAACGCTAATCATACAGACCGCTTTTGCATGTTAACTTATTGGCTAATTTTTTGAACTTATTAGTATGGGTTGATTGTTGTGGAAAGTAAGAAGGAAGATATAGTTACAATTTATTAGATGAGCTTGAAAGAATTTTCGCTACATTATTATAAAACAAATTAAATATGGGCACTTCCACCAAAAGGTCCACCAAGCCAAAATCCTTAAAATTTGAAAAAAAAAGATTTTGCCGCCATACTAGTTTCTAATTAGTTGGACCCTGAGCTAAACTAAAAATGTTGAGTATAGTTTGATTATTTTAATGAAAACGTCATCAATATACGCAAAAGTTAGTTTTTGGCTAATTTTTTGTTATTTTTTGATACTGTCTTCTGTTGTTAATTTAACCTATAGGAATTCTAATATCTGACATTTTTCTGTAATGAATGCTTTATTTATTTACATTTTAAAAAAATCGCATTCAAATATTCCATCACTATTCGCTAATTTCTGAAGTTAAATGAACTTAACCAAAATCCACTTATATTTTTGTCCCGAGCGAATCAAGAAAATAGAGCTTTGAAAGAGCGAAAAGAAAAGCCCATTATTAAAATTAAAATCTATTTTTTTCCAATTTTATTTCAACTTGAAAGGTGTGCAAATGTCCCGAGCGACAATATGGTAATGCCCATATATATATTAAAATCTTTCAAAACGATTGCATCCTCCAAAATCAACCTTCTTCAAATGATTATTCATCATTGTCGTCATCCGCACCCTTACTCTTTTTGCCATCCGCGGGAGCTGGAGGAGGTGCATCATCCTTTCGCGTGTCGTACGAGTGATAATGCAACGACCCAATCCAGTCGAGCATGTTGCGCTGCTCGGCCTCCGTTTTGTAGATCTGGCTAAAAATCTCGCGCTCAATGAAATCCTGAACTTGCGCCTCCTGCGCCTGCCACGTCAGCGGATTGTGGATGCCGTCCTTGCCGTAGCGATCGTTGTAGCGCTCGTAGTGCACCGTGTCCAGGACGAGGCCCAATCCCGGGGCCATCGGCAGGTCCAGGCGCTCCTCGGTTAGCGCCCGCTCCAAGCTCGTCGTCGTCGTGTTGCCCCTCACAATGGCAATGGCCAGACCGACCATCTTGCGGATCTGATGCAGCATGAAGCTCTGACCCTTCACCTTCAGGGTGACGAACTCAATGCCCTGGGGGCTCTGGAATGGTTCGCTGCTCGTGAAGGACATGATGAAGCGCTTGGACGAGGGATCGAGGAAGCTCCTAAACGGATCGAATATTAGTTGGATCAAATTTTAGTTAATAATCGAGATTGGTTTACTTCTTGCTGGTAAAGTTGTGAAAGTTCTTCGTGCCCTCGTAGAGTTTGAGGGTTTCCTTAACTTTCTCCAGTAGCTCTGGGGAAATGCGAAATGTGTCGTGCAAATCTTCGACCTTTTCCTCGCAGGATGCAAAGGACATGGTGGGTAGTGTGTAGGTGTAGGTCCGCGCATTGCACTGATCCTTGGCATTGAAGCCCTTGGTCACGCGCTCCACCCCAAAAAGACGGATCTGTTCGGGCAGATCGGCATTGAAGGCCTCCAGGTCCAACTCCTCGGCTAGAAAAAGAGATGTTGAATAATGTTTTCAAATATTTTTTAATTAATTTTAAATATATTAAATTCTATGTTCTATTTATGCAACATAAAAATGCCAATTTCTATTATGGAATCTTAAATGTTCTATATTGATATTTTCAATGGAAAACGGAGATATTTTTTGGGGTTTTATAGGCCCTATATCTTTAAGATCTTTTGTA